TGATAAGCAAAAATCAGATTACAATCATTACCTTGGTTGGTTGTATACTGATATGGGCGAATACGCAAAAGCAATTATATTTCACGAAAAATCACTCAAAATCAAAGAAAACACCACTCCTCAAAATCTTCTCGACTTGGCTGCTTCCTACAACGACATCGGCGCAGTGTATAATAGCATGGGCGAGTACTCGAAAGCACTTACATACTACGAAAAAGACCTGGAGATCAGTCTGAAAGCTCTCCCTCCGAATCATCCCAACTTGGCTAAATCCTACAACAACATCGGTATAGTGTATAGAAACATGGGCGAGTACTCGAAAGCACTTTCATCGTATGAACGATCACTTGAAATCCAAAAAATAGCTCTCCCTCCGAATCATCCCGACTTGGCTTCTTCCTACCAAGGTATCGCTTCGGTGTATCATGACATGGGCGAGTACTCGAAAGCGCTTTCATCGTATGAACGATCACTTGAAATCCAAAAAATAGCTCTACCTTCGAATCATCCCAACTTCGGGGATTCCTACCTCAATATCGGGTATACGTGTAATAAAATGGGCGTATATGCCAAAGCACTTTCATTTGGCGAAAAAGCGCTAAATATTTATAAAAATACACTTCCTCCAAACCATCCGAGCTTAGCTAACGCCTACAACAATATTGCGGAGGTATATAATAACATGGGCGAATACTCCAAAGCACTTTCATTGCATGGGAAAGCTGTGGGCATACGTCAGCAAACGCTGCCTCCCGAACATCCTCACTTGGCTGAGTCATATTACAATATTGGCCTTGTGTATTCAAATCTTGGCAACTACCCGAAAGCACTTTCGTCGCATGAGAAGGCACTGGAAATCAGGAAGAAATCTCTCTCAGAGAACCATACTGACTTGGCAAATAGCTACAATGATATGGGCAGTGTGTACGAAAAGATGGATGACTACCGAAGAGCGCTTTCATATTACGAACGATCACTCCGCATTAGACAAAAGTCTCTTCCATCAACACATCCAGACACGATTCTATCGGAAAAAAACGTTGATAATGTGAAAAAGAATTTTGATTAATTTCATTTGTGCTACTCAAAATAAATATGGTGTGACTCTGAATGTTAAGCTCCGGGTTTCATGTCCCTCAAGAAGACAATCATCAGTTAACTTCGACGCTGTCGTTTTTGTTCGAAATGAGGGTGTAGGTGAGCGTGTGGGTATCACGTTGTCTCTATGCACACACCCAGACCGTAGTACATAAATGATCACCGTCTTTGGAAAGAGTCGATGGTCAGATAGATGCTTCTAGTCATACATACACAGATGTATGTTATGAAGGCCTACCATCTACACGCCTGTACAGGTTACCAACAGAACGTCTGATATCCCTGGGAAGGTTCATTTTGTTTTAGAGCCACCCTCAAAAGCTCCGTTTGTTTTAATTTTTTTTTCTTCTGTTACGAAGACGAGAAGAAACATAGAAACGCGAAGAAAGACGACGTTGACGGAATTTTAATACACGCAGCGTATAATGACAACCGGTTGTTTGGACTCATGCTGTGATATTGAGTGCAAGATATCTATGTCGTCTTTACACATGTTATGTGCAATGTATTTTTCTTTTCATCGGGAATGTGTAAGAACAAATGAGATGTCGTGCACTCAATATCATGCTATAAGAGTGATGACTGAACGGAAGAAGAACACAAAAAAAAATTATCGACTATTCTCTTTGATTAGTAAGATACATATATGTAAGAGATAATTGAAAGAAGAAAATGAAAAAGAAATTTTTATAAATTTAATCATTTTGTTACTTATTACATAACGTTTTACAAAAATATTATTTTACGATCATATTGATTGAATATAATATAATAAAACAGAAGTTCAAATAGATCAAGTGCACTAGTTGATTTTTTTTAAATAATAATTTACAGTCAAAATTATGGATCTAATATAAAGATTTGTAGAATAGTTTTTCGTTCATCCATTGATGAAGGTAAATATTCAATCGATGTTAGACTTTTTTCGTCAATTATTCATTCATTTATTATGATTATCAAAAAATGTTTAAACTTATTTATTTAGCTTTAAAATAAATGAATTCAATATAAATTAAACAAAATGGATAAACTAAGTAAATCGCTTGAAGTTTTAAAATTATTTTCAACAACAACATGTTATCGAAAGTTTTTTTTTGCTCTAGAGATAAAGATGAAAATAATTTTAAATCAGTTACTACTATTGTAAAAGTATTATAAAAGAAATTCTTTTTTTTTAACAATTTTGTATGAATTATAAAATAGGATTATAAAAGATAATCCTAATGTTGAATAAAAAGCATTCAAAGGTTTGTTTTATTTCAATTTCAATTAGGTGTTCTATGGTGATTTGATGAATCAGCAAATGTAATACATTCGAAAAAGATTCAACTATTTTATTAGAATATAATGAACTTTTTTTTATATTCTTGGTTGATCAATTAATGATGAAAAAATCAAAGTAAGTAAAAAAGAAAATTCTTGTCATCTAAGAAACCTCTTCTAAAGAAGTAATCAGAAAAAAGTTATGCGATGGCTCTAGTTAATCAACAACTTCTGAGTCCATTTTTAGTTAAAACTTAGAGCAGGTGAGGATATTTTTCATATAATGTAGAATAGGTAGTCTCATACTATTTGACGAAACACCGATTGAGAAACTGTTCATTATTTGCAGTAAGAATAATAAAATTTTATTTATCATTAAATATCAATGAGAAATGAAATAAATTAGTCATAGTTGATTCACTAACAATCGTTATAGTTGAGGTATGAAGTCGAGTGAGAATGAATTTTTCTTTTTTTTTCCTAATATTAATAATAAATTATTTTCAGGAACCTCTCATGTCCTATTCAGTCAATATGTTATCCTATGATTATAGCACGTTTTCTAATGATAAATGTAATTGGTAAGTTTTCTTTCAAATAATTATTTCAATTAATTATAATTTGTCTTTTATTTTAACAGATAAATTATTTGAGCATTATAATCAAAATCATAGTACAAGTTTAATAATTGGTTATCTTAAATTACATGTCAAAAAATTTCAATCATCATCAAGAAAAGTCAACGATCAATAACAAGAACTAGAAATATTGATACAAATGAACAACATCTTTCAATCAGTATTTGACAAATAATGAATGATTTTATTTTCTATGTAAATATTTATTTTTTAATATGTTGATATGATATTTTATATTTGTTTACAACATAAAAGATCATAATGTAATATGAAATTCATGGGAAACACATGAAATTATATTTAAATCTATTTGATTTTGATCAATTGTTAATTTCAATTCAAATTGGATCTATAGAAGTAACTTATATTAGTCACACATTAAACACAGGTAAATATTGTAAAAAGAGAACAACAAGTTTTTATTTTTTCTAAAATAATAGATTATTCAACATATCAACGTTGATTTATTGAAATGAATAAACAACACGATATTTCAGTATATAAAATGAATGATGAATTATATTCAAAATCAATGATTAATAATGAAAAACAAACATCAGTTGCTAAACTTGTTAATCAATTATGTTTTTTTTTCCAATTAGACATTTGCTCAATGCGTTAATAATTTGATTATCCTACTGTAAGTATGTTTAATGCTTGTTTGAGACTTTTTTTTTGTAAAGTTTCAGTTCAGTAAAATACATTTATTTTATAATCCAAAATTATTTTCAATGTTGTAGCAGTAGGAGGACTCAGATGAATAGGATAAATCTGATGAAGGAGCTTGTAACAGAGTTTAGTTAACGTGGCTTCAATTGGTTATGGTCTCAAAGTTTTAGTGAAAGTTATCTGATAGATATGAAGATTTTACTATTGAGTTGTTGAAACAAAACAATATGAAATTTTAATCTTTTTGAAACCAACAAAAGAGTAGAGCATTTTACTAAATATGTTAGACATACAAAAATTTTAGAGTCCAGAGGCTGCATTTATATATGTCAGAGATTGAAATTATACAATCACATAATTACCTCAAAAACAAAGTTCGAAGTTAAAATACGAATTCTGCACATATCTAGTACGAAAGAGATGTTCAGTTTTTCATTATGATATGAAATCAATTGTATTCTCGAATGAGTTTTTCTTTAATCTTTGAAGATTTCTCATTAAATAAAAATTTTCTAATTGATATGAAATTCTTATCTCTATATGACTTGTAATGCATTAAAATCTATCGAACATCGAGGTAGACGATCTACATTTATGTGATACATATGCAAATTTCTTTCCTTGCTACATTAATTAAAAAGAACAATTCATCTTTTAAGACTATTATCATTATCAAATTCATTTAATAATTCTTTATATTAATGAATATTCACTTGTATCAATTGATTCACAAGACAGTTCAAGGTTAGATTAGAATATTAAATCGTCTCTTGTTTTTGATAAAAATATTTTTTCTTTCTATTTTTAAATATATTCAATTAGGTATATTAGCAGAATTACTTTCTACATTTCGATTATGTCTTTAGGATAATAATGCACATATTATACATTTACAATCATAGGAATTGAATTATTAGAAGATTCTACTCAATATAGTACAAGTTCTTATATTCTTGCTAAAGTAGATAAATGAAACCTATGATTACAATCAACTGTTTATGTGTATAAAATAGGTTGCTCTAGCTCAAATTGTGCGTAATATCGATTTTCTCGAATACTAACTTATCTTGAACAACAACAATACCAGATAAAAAAAAACAGTAAATTAAAACTAATCATATATAGAAGATAAAAACAATATCTTGGTTTGTTTTTGTTTTACTTTTATTTTTAGAATCGATCATGACTTGATCATTGTATTGACATTATCTTTCTATTTCTTATTGATAATGATACAAGTGTTCGTCCAGTAGCTACTTTAACTTTTGCTAAGTATGTCAATTGTAGAGATGTTAGTTAACTAGGTAGTTTTATTTTCGAAGTTAAATAATGCATCAGTCGATTTTATTGTATTAAGTTAGTTACTAGCTGCTTTTTGATTTTAAGGTTTGTTGATCACAATTCATTTTTTTAGTATATCAATGGTCAATACATTATTTACCTAAATGGATCAATTCTTCCTGTCAATGGATGCATAAAATTCATTATTCATTACAACAAACAAATACTTCTGTAATTATGTCCAATGATGGAGTGCAATGTGAAACAATATCATGCTTACCAACATTAATATTTCATTGTTTAGCTCAAACATCCACTCGAATATAAATTGTTTATTTTTTTTGTCTTTTATATAAGTTGGAGGTTTAGAAGGTATTTATGCTCTTTCAAATGTTTTAGGATCAACAACAATTTGATCATTTTTGTTTTCATAATCAATATGATGAACTTTGTTTAGTTATACATCTATTTATATGAAATGATCTTAATAATTTACAATTATTACTCGATAATAATAATTTAATTTTTTGAAGATTTATCAAATCTTAACAAATGAAAAAATGTTTTTAAAGTAGCACAAATGATCCAAGTTATTCAAAAATTGAATTATTTTATTAATGTTCTTGAACTATTGCAAAAAACCTCGCATTCATCATTTCTGTTGGGCAGAAGATCATTTTCTATAATTGATATTTCAACTTTCGTAGAAAAGAAAAGCTCTAAAGTTTTAGATTTGAAGAATGTATTGGATCATGTCTTGTCTGAATGAATTCATTTGTTTTTTTGTTTTAGAGAATGATAAAGATTCATCAATAATATCAAACACAAATAAAGATACAAAAGTTAATTATGAACGATTACTTTCAACAACATTATTTTCTATAAAATCAGTAGTAAGTCTTATTTCTATACAAGGTTTATTAAAAAATTTGGAAGAAACACTTAATTATTTTAAATCAACGTTCAATGTACAAAAGAGATAAAACTTCTTTTAAATAGTACATATTAATTAGAACATTTTAGTTATTAATCTTCTTCTACTAATCAGTTGAGCTAAAACCTTTAGGATGTCGTATTGGATCTGAACCAGAGACTGGCTGGCAGGGCAAAAACGTTTATCCTATGCCAAAAAAATTAAAAAAAAAGGCTAATTCCAGTTTAGTTTTTCTGATTAAACAATCGATTAAAGTGCGAATGTTTTTAGTCGATTTTAATCTAATTATTTCATCTTCAATTCATTTTGACTGTCATTTCACAAATAATTTTGAATGAATTAAACCTTGTTTATAAAATGAAGTTGATTAGAAATGTAATCGAGTTTTTTTTCTGCTACATGTCATAAGAAATCTGAATATGAACTGACTACTTCCTTAAAAATTTGATGAGCACAGAAAAAACTACAAGAAAGAAAAGTTGCCTTTCATTCAGAAGACCTAATTTTAATTGATGAAATTAAAAGATGGTCGATTTTTATCAAACACAAGTCAAGAATAGAAGATCATTTTTTATGTTAGAAGATCATGACGCACTTAAAAAATTTCATAAAACATAACAGAAGACATATGAGTTCTTTAAAATTTTATGTCGAAAATTCTGCTGCCTTTATGAAATTCAGCACAACGAAACTTTGTTTTTCAGTTATAACTTTATTTTTGTATTATAGGAAAGAATAAGTGTAAATAAAAATAAATCTTTATATTTATAAAATGAAGATAAATGAATTATTTATTTTTGAAAATTAAAGAATAAAGAAAGATTTGTTATGTTATAGATAAATAGACAAATACATAGTATAACAACTGGATATGTGAAGCAGTATTCTTTCTTGCCATGAATATCACTTCGACATGTCATATCATTAGATAATCAAGCGAGTGCATGAAAAAAAGAATATATATGCAAAAAAAAACTTTTTGCATAGTTCATGTACATCTATGGTGTTTATTTTTGAAAAAATAAAAAAATTTTTAATCTTTATTTAAAAAATATAAAGAATTTACTGATGTTTTTTTTATAAATATAAAAATTGTAAGGTTCACCAAAGTCAAAGTTTCCACACCATTTTTTTTTTGGCTTATTTATATATCATTCGATAGAGCTCGTCGAGCTGATCACGAATATCTACTTTTTAACCTTTCTAGTACAAGTTTTTACTGAAAAAAATTCCAAAAATTCCAAAAAATTTGGTATCCCAAAAATTGTTATTTTTTGTTTTCAACAGTGTTTTTAATAGAATAACTCAGTTTTAATGTATTTTCAAAGCTTGAAAGTATTTTTTTTTCTTACTCAGAATTGAAAACTACACATTATAAACTATATTTGAAATTTCTAGTGTAAAAATAAAAATTTCAGGATCCCCATGAACTCGATAGGGGTCCGAGTCCTCCGAGCCTAATTTTGTAAACCTATCTACTTTTTTTGTTCAAGAGATGTAATCATGTGGAACATATAATTAGAATCGCCATCTGACGAGGAACAAAAGTACGTTCTCCTTTTTTCCAAATTATTCGTTGTTCTTGAAATATTGACCTTTTACTGGAATTTGCCCCCCATAATTGGACAGGTCATTTTTCGATATTTTTGTTTTCTTTCATTCAACATCAATAATAATTATATACAATAAGCAGCAAGGATGCAGAGTTTCTAGCACTAAGAAAATGCTTTCTTACCTTCTTCTCTGGAATAAATTAGGTACACGTTGTCCAGTACAAACAATCGAATACATGGACAACAAGAACGAAAAAAAAATTCTAAATTGTTATTTTGCATCTGGACCACTCAAAGGGAAGTCAAAAGGCCTGTTAAATATCGCTCTTGATTTAGGATTGAGTGTTCCAGTTCGCTGCAAACTGGACGAGTTGAAATCTATATTAGCCAAGCATACTGCTTTCAAAAATGTAAGATAATTCGAGCGCACTTTTTTCTCGTCTTCATGTGAAACATTCCTATATGAATTCTACTTTATCCATAGATGTCAAAGTTGGAAAGATTAGCTGCGAATTACGGTGTTAAAATTATTTTTGGACCGAAATTCCATTGTGAGCTGAACCCGATAGAGGGTATGTGGTGTCATTTGAAGCAATATGTTCGTAAACACAATGATCAAATATTTAGTAAAATGGTCATATTAATTAATGATTCACGATCAAATTTTGTTGAAAGACAAGTTCATATGAAACTTTTTAGACGTTTTTGGAAAACACTGAATGCTTATAATGAAGGCAAAGATTATAAAGAGGTGTTAAAAATGTTTTTCAGTAGTCTTTGTAAAGATACAGTGATCTCACATCGAAGAATAAGTAACGCTAATGTCGATGCATGACATGTATAATTTCTTTGTAAAATGTTCTCCAAAACTCTCTCAAGATTTTGAAAATATACTCCTTAGATTTCTTATCCTTTGTTGCTTATTGTATATAATTATTATTGATGTTGAATGAAAGAAAACAAAAATATCGAAAAATGACCTGTCCAATTATGGGGGCAAATTCCAGTAAAAGGTCAATATTTCAAGAACAACGAATAATTTGGAAAAAAGGAGAACGTACTTTTGTTCCTCGTCAGATGGCGATTCTAATTATATGTTCCACATGATTACATCTCTTGAACAAAAAAAGTAGATAGGTTTACAAAATTAGGCTCGGAGGACTCGGACCCCTATCGAGTTCATGGGGATCCTGAAATTTTTATTTTTACACTAGAAATTTCAAATATAGTTTATAATGTGTAGTTTTCAATTCTGAGTAAGAAAAAAATACTTTCAAGCTTTGAAAATACATTAAAACTGAGTTATTCTATTAAAAACACTGTTGAAAACAAAAAATAACAATTTTTGGGATACCAAATTTTTTGGAATTTTTGGAATTTTTTTCGGTAAAAACTTGTACTAGAAAGGTTAAAAAGTAGATATTCGTGATCAGCTCGACGAGCTCTATCGAATGATATATAAATAAGCCAAAAAAAAATGGTGTGGAAACTTTGACTTTGGTGAACCTTACTTATATTTATAAAATAAAGTAAAGAAAATGTGACCCTAGTAAAAAATAAATGTTGTTTTGCAACTAAAATTACTCTCTTCTTTTTTCTAGGATGGGGTTTAGTCACTAAAAGCACCTGAGAATATCATTATTTTATTAAAACTTAAAATCTTGCAATAGACATACTCACTTTATAAGTATTATTCTACTCTGTCTACGCCCTATGTCTAGTTCTTAGGGCAGGTCAAGAAAAGAAATACTCTGTGATAGTCTCTTATCCAAAACTTGTCTGTGGGCAGAATTTTAGATGGAAATCTTATAATCAAGATTTCACGAATGGTCTAATCTAGAAAAAGAAAATTTCAATAAAAGAATATCATAGTGACAGAAAAACTGATTTTGCAAATATTGACGGTTTTAATGAGAGAATAGTTTATTGTGGAAGTGTCACATCTTTTCATTTGTTTCTCTCTTGAAATTCGAAATTTGAAAATTATTTTTTCTGTTAACACAACATTCATTTGAAAATATTCTTTTAATTTAGTTTTCATTAAACCACTAATTAGCAATCGTTTTATCATCATCTGCTGAAACAAAATATTCATACAATAACTATTCGACAATTGATTATTTATTTTATTTGGTTCACGTTATATATCAAATATAAATAGTGATCAATCCATAGAATATAGTGCAATGCGAGAGTAAAATAAACAAAAAAAAACCGAATTTGATCTATTGTTTTTTTTTTGTTTTCTATTTTAGTTTTTATTGAACTCGATTTACTTGTTCAATTACTTTTAATTCGTGTTAATTATAGTTGATTAAATGCTGATGAATTTTCGTTTATTTTTTAAACAGCATTGTCTTACTCATATAATCTATTAACTGGAAATGATTGAAGAAACTATGCCAGATTATGATATATCATCACATTTTATTTATAGTATAGCTAAGTTTCTTGTTATGTTATCACATGATACACTTCATTCAAAACAAGTTATTTAAATACAAGATTTAATAAAACATTGTGATTAATTATTAGCAAGCGGACATGAACTTGAAATACATGGTAGGAAGTAAAAACAAAAAAGATATTTTCGAGAAAAATAAGTTATCGCTAAAATTCTTTATTTAGCTTTAGCAGCATTAGAACCAGTTGTATATGATTTATTTCTTGTTGAAACCTTACTTGAACTTGTTCGATATAATAAAGTAATGTAATATTATAAGAAATAGTCCCCATTCGAATAATTAAAATTCCTAAAACGTTTTATTAAATGAGAGTGAACAAAACATGTTCTTCCATCAGGTCTCAAATATCGTAGAAACTCGAGAGGATATTAATGTGGATGTGTAGGTGTAATTTTTCTTCTCAATTGAATCCACACCCACAGTTCAACGAATCAATGATCTGAAAATAACTATATTGTTGATGCCGAGAACTCGACAATATTTGGAAATAACAATATTCAGTTATATATTTGATAAAAGATACGACAATTAAAAGTCTGAAGGAAAAGTAGGCATCTTAGTTATTGTAAATAAAAGAATCTTTTCATATCGTCTCTACGTACTAAAAAAAGCAATAATAGAATTGATATTTTTATAAACTTTGCAATTGTTGATAGTGTTCGAAATGAAGGTAATACATGAAAATGTTTTTCACGACAAATTGTCGATGTACTTCTTGTTCATCTTACTATTGGTTTATCTAAGGTTATTTTTCTCTTTTTAATAATCTTCGACTATACGTTACTGTTTCGTTTCAAATAGGATCAATCACTTTTGGATATTTATTCAACATAATCAACACTATTTGATGTTGCATCATCATTTGAATTATGACCTATTGATCCATTTGCTGTTGCTTTTCGAGCATCAACAAATAGAAATGTTGGTTTGTTTTTATCTATGAAATTTTCCTGTTGTTTAAATTTCTTTTTTTAGGACATCAGTCATCAAACTATAAATTGATGGTTAATTGATATAAATATCATTTTTTGATGTTTTGTATCAAATCCAACTAAAGATCCAATATTAACACGATGGAATAATGCTTTATTATCAGTTAATAGAATACGAGATAGTGAGTAAGTATTTGCAATGATTTTATTTATAATTTTAAAAACTACGATTCTTCCTTTTGTTTTTAGCGCTCCTCTTCGAATTTTACATGACATAATATTACGAATTTTTGAACAATAACGTGATCAAATCAATATGACATTAGTTTCTCTGCATATTATGAAAAATGGTAATGAATTAAAATAGTAGTGTATTTGTAGACATGAATATGATAGTTCAACAATAGGAATATTATTTTTAGCTGAACTTGTCATCTTTGTAACGAGCGCCAGAATGATTGATTTAAAAATTCCGATATGAAACTTTAGAAAAAAGAAACTAACTAAACAGTTAAAAACTAGTTTCTATCAAAGTCAGAAGATCTGAAGCTCTCATCATAATCTATATGATAGTAACATATCACCCATTCATTTGAGAAGAAAACTTTCTTGCATTTCATTAATTACTAATGAACTAGCGATAAAACATTTGACTTCAAAAATTTCTGTTCTTATAAGATCTATAATTTTATTTTAGCTAAATAATTTCGAAAAAATTCTAAATGATTTTCGTCAATCATTAGTTCATGATGAAACTGTATATTGTCTTGATATATTTTCATATTGAACTAGGTTAAATGAATATTTTAAATTATTATTATAATGAATACATATTCTGAATATACTTGATAATGCGCACAAGAAGCATGATGGTCATCAATATAAACACCATCATCATTAATAACACACTTATTCATAAATGATTAATTACAATCTTATTATGATTTAATATATTATCATAAATTATATTTGGTCTTATACATCTATACATCAGTTGCAAGTCATTTATTCATTTGTGAAGGAATACATTTAGATGAAAGTGGTTTTTTTATTAGTTTTATTAATTGAATAATTTCTTCTATTATCATATATATTTGTATTATGTTTAGCTGAATTAATTGTTTATGATCGTATTGAAATGATGTTAACACTTGACCAACAAACATTAAATAAACAATTACTAACGAAATATTTACCATTAAGTTTTATAAATATAATCAATAACAATATCAATCGATATTATTAAAGAAGATTTTAATAATCTTTAGTATCCTATGGATATAACAACAAAAATTGATGCACAAATGCTTAAAAATGTAACTTATAAAAAATGATTATCATTTATGATGTCATCGGTATGTTTTAGTTTAATCTATCGAAATAAATATAATACATATATATATATATATTGAAAATTTTAATCCAATTACAGGAAAAATGTTTGTTTTTTCTTTAACATTTGTCTATGTGTGTTAGTAATAGATGAGATTTTTGAATACTTCAACATTTCGACAAAAATATTTTGAAATAGAAAACTAGTCAGTCTACTGTACTTACATATAAAGAAGAACGAGTTTCAACGATATAGATAAGAAACAAAATATGTACAATTTCAAGTAATAAAAATCATAAAGGAAAGTATTTAAACTACATTAGTACAATGATCACATGATTCTTCTCGAATTTCATTAATCAAATTCTTAGTCGTGCTATTTGTATTGTTACAACTAAAGAAAATGGTGTCTTTCTAATATGATGAAATGACTAATGAAGAAAATGAAAATAATTTTTAGAAATTAGGAATTTCAAGTTTATGAAACATTCTTCGAAACAAATATCATCAACCGATGACTAAAAATGCAATAGTGATATTCATCTTATATTCATTTCGATCGAAGGAGATCTATTTAAAAAAAAATTAGCTGAGTTTTATAAAACATCACGAAATCTTTCTCGAACAAGAAAATTGCATTCGAGAATTTCGATAAACTTTCTATATATTTAAATTCTTGAACTCTGGAAACGTATTGGGTTTTTTTTCATCGCATTAAATTTTTAGGATAATTCTTATAGTAAATGAAAATTGATTTGAGAAAATAACAAACAATATAAATCTGTTCTTTTTTTTTTATCTTCTTAGGATTTTGTATAGTTATCAATATCTCATTATCTTATCCTTGGTATTTTATCAACATAATGATTAATATCAAATAAAACAAATTTAAATCATGTTGAAAAAACATTTTAATACAATTTATGTAAAAAGTCTTTTATCATACTTCTATAATAATCAATCATATTCAATTGCATTAATAGATTCCATATCAATTTATTTTGATAAAATACAAAATCATGTTGAATTAATATGTCAATTTTCAACAGATAATATACATGATTTCTTATGTTTTATAATATTTATATCAGAAATAATTTATATAAATATATTTCAAAAAAAATAAACCATTTCTTAGTTGTATAACAGATGATATATAATATTATCTTGTACATTATCGAAAACATTATTATCAATATTTGAATATTTTACTAAACGACATGCTTTAACTGTATCAAATAAATTAATTCTTAAAGTTAATTGAACTAGATAATACATCATTTATAAAATTATTACTCTTATTATTTAATGATCTTTATTATTTAACAAGCAAAATTAAGTATATATACATATTAACATGATTTACGTTGTATAGTTATATTATTATTTTCTTTATCAACATTTAAGTAATTTAATTCATCATAAATCAATCTAATGATGAAAATAAATAAATAACAAATAATTTAATCATAGAGAACATTTTCGACACAAATGCGACATAATGGTAACAAGATTCAAAAATAAACAAGATTTTTATCTGTTCTTTTTTTATCAATAGTCAATATATGTAAAGATGTTCAAAATTAGACACAGGCTCAAATAATTTATTTAAAAATATTGAACAATTAGGTACACGTGATTTATTGTCAGAAGAATTTAAACTTTATTATACAAAAAACTAAGTTAAGAGAAAAACAAAATTATCGATAAATTAATTTCATCAAACAAAAAGTCTAGTGTTTCTCTCATTCTGATTACTTGTTATATTCTATTAATACAGTCTAAAATATGAGAAATATTTTCTATCAATTAGAAAATTAGAGTATGAACATCCACCTTTAAAAACATATAGTTTAGAGTTCATTTCATCGTTTTATTTTCTCGTCATGGCCTTGATTTAGCATCATCATTAGAAATTCTAATTGAACTATATATTCGTTGGTTAATTACGAAATATATCTATTTGATTTATTTTCATCACCACAACATTTATGAAGTTTATATAATTTATGTGATGAGTATTTTCGTACATGATTTGGTTATGGGTGTAGGTGTGGGTGTCTAATGAACAACGCAAACATACGCACACTTATATTCACACCTACACCCACCGTTTGATCTTACTTAAGGAACATATCCAACTATCAGACATCATTTGAATTCACTTTATGGCAAAGACCGAGTAGACTCGATGGCCGTGTCCTTCTATAGTAAGCCGTTGGTCGTTGTTTGAAGAAATTAAATATCTCGTGGACGTGAAAGTGTTTGAACTGACAAATCGTTTTTGAGTCAAAATTATGTTCATTATATATGTATCAAATCTCTATCGCTATTCCTATCTTAAAAGAAATAGGTATGGTAATAGTACGTCTTTTCCATCACTCATATAAACTAGCTATTTTGATGATCTTATTTTAGGATGGGAGCAAAACAAAAGAATTGATCCTGTAACAATAAATTAATCTTGCTAAGACCTGTCTCTATGACAAAATTTCAAGTTGAAATTCGAAAAGTACTTTTTTCTGTTACTACGATATTCATTTAAAAACTCCCGCGTAAAATTACAGTACCTCTTCTAGCAATAAGCTACGGAAAGAAAGTCTTTTCAGGATATTCATAGCTTATTTGGGTCTACAAGAAGCATATACTCTCGATCCACAAGTAATTTATCAGTTTGAAGAACTTCCCTTCTCAGTACCACCAATACTTGAGAATTTTTTTAAGAGTATTCTCATGTAAACATATAAGTTTTGTTTTTTCATTTATTTAGTGAAAATAACAAAGCATTATCAATTATAAATTGTTAACGCTTCTACGATTATTATTATCCTTAATTTACACCATCAATCTGAATAATAATAAGATTTTATCCATGACATTATCAGCTTGAGAAAAAAATATTTGGTTATTTTTTTATTCAATTATTATTCGGACTTAAAATATCAATGATTGAAATAAAAACCAATTTATTATTTAAAATTTTATTGATAAAGATAACGTTTTTTTCTGCTGAACAAATGCAATCCGGTTGAAAAAGAAAAAATAACTTTGCATTAATAATAAAAAACTAGTTGTCGAAAATTCAAACAATGATGTATTTGTGATTAACACACTACACATGATTTAAGACTCAGCTTGTTTTTTTCCTTTTTTATATACGTCATCGTTGATGATAAATTTGACAATAGTTTCACACGCGCACCTACATCAACGGAAAAATTTTCTTTTCACTTCGTATTCATTTGACTTGTTACTTTCAATTAGATAATCAATTTATAGCGAGACATAAAAGTTCTTATGAAACAAGTGAAGCGCACGACATCTTAGTTGTCTTCACACATATCGAATCAGCTCAATAAGTTATCGATCGAAATGTGTAAGGACAAAACGAATGTCGTGCGCCACTTGACTATTGTATAAGCTTTTCGTCATGCACGAGAAGACTATACGATGAAAGAAAAAAAACAGACCAACTGTTCTGTTGTATTTTGTTATTGATTGTATTAGCTCGTGAATGTATCCTTATAAATAAGCATAGGAATCACAAAAACAAAGAAAAAAAAGATTTTTTTTTGCCAAAGTCTGTCTTAGTCTAGATTTCTCTTTAGAGAAAAAAAAGTTATTACATTACACTAATGTATTATATATTAGTTTTTATGTAATAAGAATGTCATGTTGCCAATAATGACGATATGATGGTTTTGTTAAATCATTGTTTTATTATTATTTGATCGATACTATTATTGACATAAATTAAAATGTATATTTGTTTTATTGAATATGGTGAAATTTGTTGTGGTTACTCTTGGCGATGATCGATCAGTCATATCAACTGATTGTTTTTTTTTAATATTTGCCGAAATAAAAATTGTAGATTTTTTCGTAATTTAGATCTTATTATACATACTATTATTCTATCATCATGGTCACTTTCATTATTATATATAAAGATAGGAATCAATATAATGTGTCATCTTCATCATCAGATGCATTACTCAAATAAATAAAATTTAGTATATAATAAAGACCTTAAGGCTAAACGCAAAATAAATATATTTGAAATTCAATAGCTCAATAGAGGAACCCATATTTGTCTAAAGCTTCCACTAGAATACCTTATAATAATATCTATAGACGGAAAATCGAAGAAGGTTCTTTTATTAGTCACCTGAATATTGTTGAATTCTAACTCACATACGAACTCAATTGGCTATATTCAAATGTGAAATACCGTTCAACTTCATAAATATTATTGATGCGCCTAGATCTCGATCGAAGCATGAAAAATCTTAATAGAACCTTTTTTTTGAATATTTCAAAAAAGACATGTTTATTTTTGTTGGAACTCTAGATCTTCGATTTTTTGAAAATGTTTTACTCTCAATAGAAATTTCATCCACTTTCATACGACCGCCTAAGATTCCGTTTTAGTAAGAAGATTAGTAGAATATGTTGATAATGTCAACCATTTAATCCTAATTGTATTCATGTGAATCGAGTGTCTACAGAGAGAGATCTGGTTGGATCTGAACGAGATTCATTCAAATGCTATACATTCACAACATTGATTCGAGTGATGTGTTTTAGTGTTACATATACTTAGGTCGTCAGTCGAAATCCTTGTAAGATTTTCTTCTTCTCATTCACATCTTCTCATAGACATACTATGAAGTTAAATGACACGCAACAGTTATTTTTTCTATTGATGAATGATTGATATTCAAAGAAAGTAAAATTAATATAGTGAACTAGTACGAAATAGATGATTTTCACCTTCATATGTTTCCATTTCATGTTGATAAGTCACTGATGAATTTTGTTGTGCTGTTTAATAAAGATGATCTGCAAGACCAATTGTATCACTAGTACGTGAATATAAATGTGTTATTGCATCTGATGATTTATCAATGACAATAACATGAAGCTAAAAATAAGTCCATGTAAAAGTACTATAAGCATGAATATCAAACATTTTACGTAATGAATCTTCATATGATGAACTGTTCATATTTCCATCAAGTAAATTTCATATCATATCAAGACATACTGGACAACAATCGTCAACAGATAGTATTTCTGAAAAAAAAAACGATTATTTTGTTTGTTTTATTCAAGTGACATCGATTTTCGGAATGAAATAAAGTAGCAGCTGATGAATGGTTGTTGATTATATTGTGAACTATATATTTACATTTATTTATCAATTTTCTTGTTTAATTAAACGTTATCCGTATGACGAATTGCTCAAGATCTGTTTTAACATTTATTCTCATCTTTATCATCATTGTCTATAGAAAATAATCTAAATTGAAAACAAATTTTCAGTTTAATCTTAAGTTTTGTTTAATCAAAATGGGGATAACTCTATTCAGTGGCGTAGCCAGCAGGGTAGCAATTGGGCAATTGCCACCTAAATCAAATTCTATTGCCACCTAATTTTTTTTAAATGCGCGCAATTGCCCATTGTCAAAAAATGTTAATACCTGTGTATGCTTAAAGATTCAAGGAGTGTTTTCTTTCAATACATTTTCTCTTGATGAGATCTAATCAAGTGATTTACAAAAATCAATCTACGATCTTTTGCATTCAAAGAATGATCACAGTAATAATGATTTAATAGTATTTTCTGTCAAAATACGCTCTAATATACTTAAATGAGCTAAAGAGAAACTTGAATGAATACTCAACGATCTCTCTACGAACATAAATCGTATTGTACAGAAACGACTGAAGCAATCTAAATTAAAAGCTTCCACAATGTATGTTGTAACATGATTCTTGCACTCTTAGAGTTGAAAACGTAAATAAACTACATAGAAAATCTAAATAAAAATCGACTGAGTATCTAAACGACAGTGTTTTGAAAACTCATCTCAGGCATTGAAAGTACTAGAAATGAAATGATAATATGTAATTTACAGAATGCACATATGACTGAACATTGAAACCATGCAAAAAAGCTTTCATGATTGAGAATTTGTTAGAGATATATGTGGAGTAATGCTTGTCATTGTCCGACGTAATAGGACAAACTAACTCATGCAGTTGTCCGATTAAAGAAGATAAACGAACCTTCATTGCCTGACGAAAGAAAATAATGAGGCATTGATCAATGTTTCACGAAAAAAGATAGACTGACAGTCATTGTGTCTCTACCACATATTCAGAAAAGAGATTGATTTTCTTGTTCTATTGATACTTATTTATGACTTTTTGACATAAAATATTAAAATATATAAAATCAAACAGTACGTTTCTGAAATAGTGTTTAAAAAAAGCGAGCAAATTTATCTGTTAATCCAGTATGACTAATTTCTCTTCAGTAAACAACAAATTCTGTAACGCGGACAAGTATTTAAAAAACTATTGCCCACTAGGTTTTACAATTGCCCATTGCTGCCACCTATTCAAAATAATTTAGCTGGTAAATTGCTACCTATGTAAAAAATCCTGGCTACGCCACTGACTCTATTATTAAAAAATTTATAGAAGTAATGATCTCAGGATTGGGAACAAAGATATAGATTTGGATCTCTATCTATTCATATATGTATATACCGGGTGTCCCAAAAGTAAGGAAAAATAATGGGTATCCGATAATAACTAATGAAGTGTTAATGATATTTTTCATAGTTTTTATTGATGTAGAGAGCTGAAACTTTTATTACATATATATCCGATTAAGATCTTCTATTTCTGACAGTTTCAGCTCTCTGCATCAATAAAAACTATGAAAAATATCATTAACACTTTTTCATCAGTTATTATCAGATACCCATTATTTTTCCTTATTTTCGGGACACCCGGTATATATGTTATTATCTGAAAAATTTCTAATTCTCAAAGAATGATTTATAAGATGTTTCTGTAAGTTTGCTAAATCTATCATATGTTGAGATCTGTATTTCACTGAGGTGTGGCTGTGACTAAGGAGAAGGTCTACATCCACACCCTACACCCACACACTGTTCCAGCATAACAAATTCCTATTGGAATTTAATCAATACCAAAACGATGATCACGTGATAGAACAAGTTGAAAATGAGCTGTAGCTATTTGAGATGGAACCTATTTAAATAAATATAACAAAAGAAAAAAGATAATATTAATTAAATGATTAACATAATTTTAATTACTTACCAAATATGGTAAATAATTGACAAGTAGTGAACGAAATCGAGCATTTATATAATTTTGATTACCTTTTTGTTTCTTGTTTAATTATTTCAACAGTATTTTCCTGTACATTTTCAGCTGGTACAATTTCTAAACACTCATCTCTTACACCAATTTTTTCACGTCAATAGGTAAAAATTTCTTGTAAATGATATGGATTTTCCCAACCACGTACAAATGATTGAGTTAATATAAAACATCGAAAGAGATTATCGAAATTCATCATTTCAATCGTACTCGAATCTTTAATATCATCCAGAGAATTGTTAATTTCATCTTCTTTTTCTTTAATCGAACAAAAAACAGGACAATATAATGCTTTAGTATTCTCAATATTATATAAACACACACACACATACAAAAAAAACTCTTATATGTTCTTTTTATTTTCCTAAATCAATCTCGTTAGTTTACTATGAAAACAAAAAAAACAATATTTTTATTGCATACCGCCAATAATGTTAAGTAACATTTGAGGAACATGTGGTAAATAGACGCTATTTCTTGATTTTGATAATTGATTTCCAATACCTTCAGCGGCTTCAATTCGTCGAAGTTCGATCAAATCTAACATGAATATTAAAACAAAGTAAGACAGGATAATAAAAGATATTCGAAAATTTACCATCATCAGCTTCATCTAAAGCTTTGCCAATTAAATCAGCTGTACGAGCATCATCTTCTACTGCAATAACATTTGCTTGACGACTTTGTTCAGTCTGTTTTTCTTGATAAAAAAAAACAAACTCATATAAATTTTATTCTTATTGATTTACTTTTTCGACTAAAAATCGTTGTTTTTCAACATCTTGTTGTGCAACTTGTTTTAATTCAACAGCACTTGTAAATTCAGATCTAAAACTTAAATGTGTCTAATTTAGAGAAAAAAAACAATATAATCAACTCGAGACTCTTTTTTGTTGTATCTTACAGTTGAAATATCATCAAGTAATAAACCAAATTGAGCAGCACGTTCTATTAATAATTCACTAATACGTTGAGAAATAAGTGTACGTTGTGTAATCAATTCAATAGCATCAAATTGAGACTTAGTACAACAGATTTTAAAACTTCATTAATAATCGATGATAAAACACGTTCTTCATAATCTAAACCCAAATTTGCAAAAAATTTTTGGTAAAAGTTCAGCTCTTGGTCGATAAAGAATACGTAATATTATATTAATTGTTTGTAAATCTAAAATAAAAATAATAAAATGTAATTTATGCATATTTCATTTATACGAAGGAAAAATAACCGAGACTTCCGATTTTAAGTTTTATGAAGTATCCTAAGATTGGTGAATGATGAAAGTGTAGAGATGTAAACCGATCAGTTAAGTCACCATCGATGGCCGCAAAATTTTTTAAGATACCTCAGCCATATACATTGATTGATGTTTCAATAGACATCGTATTTACCTTCTTTTTTTCGCGAGCTTACATTTTCCTCATGTGCACCTCTCTCCTGAAGTTGACTGTTTTCTTCTAGCTTTTATACCTTTTATTTCTGTTATTGATGGAACGGATCATAGTCGTGTACGAATATCAAATATAATTGGTCTATGAAGCCATGAAATCATAAAATGAGTTCCTTCTTCAATAACATCTAGTTTAACACCTTGAAAACGATCAAAAATAACATTTCGATGACCACCATTAACTAGAATATATTCATATTTAAAGAAAACAAGGTTTCTTTTAATCTTTTCATATTTACCATTATAAAGCATAGAATTAATCACACCACCAACAATAGCTAAACAAATACCAATTCTTCCTAAAACACTAAATTCTTCTATCAAAATAAAATATTATCTCAATATCTTACCAATATTATTAAATAAACGAGATGAAGCCATTGTCTTTTTCTTTCTTCTAAAAGAAAAACATGCATAATCATAATCAAATTAAATTCGTTTAGTTGTTTTGTTTTTATTAGCAAATAGTTCCAGAAACAAAACGAAACCATATGAAAATTCTTCATATCTCTATCGATAAAAAAAGAAAATGCATCACTATTTAATTTATCTATCTACTACAATAACAAACCAATGTAATATAGACATAGAAAAAGATTAAATAACAATAAATTTTGAAAGCAAAAAAAAATACATGCATACTTTTAAATAAATCGAAATCCACTTGAATAAATATGAGCACCGTTTTTTTTTAGACAAAACAAAAGAAAAACAAAACGTGTATAAAGTTTAGCACCGTTCAGATATTGTTCACCATTGGGTTTTAATGAATTTGATGTATCACCGTTCCTTGCTACTGCAGCAGCAATTGCTTCGGGTGCTGGAACAGTCTGTAAAGAAATTATTTGTATCATAGAAAAAAAAAATGTTTTTCAATTACTATAATTTGATTTTGTTGGAAAAAATTGTTGTGGAAATGATGCAGTATCAACACGAAAATCTTCAAGATTTTTATAGTTTTTTAAAATTTCTTCAAGTTTTGGATTGATTTTTGGTTTTTGTCGAGAATATTTTAAAAATGCCCAGAATTTTTCTAAACCATATAATTGACCTAAATAGAAAAATTACTTTTGTCATTGACACTTTTCTTTTTTGTTTTTGCGTGATCTGTTTTATTACCAGCTTCATGATCACAAAGAGTTTCTTGATGAAAATCTTCAAATACATGTTGACGAAAATGTTTTTCTATACCATATGTATAAAATCGAAATAGACATTCAACACCATATCTATACATACAGTACCCGACAAAAGTATTCCACCCTTCTATCTCAGCCACAATATGAGCTGTAGAGCTGAAAACCAGTCTGCACATAGTTCTCAACGAATGTTGATCAGTGACACCATCCGCATCCCGATTGCATGAAGTATAAGAAAGTTATAATGCATGCGGTCTGTCTCCATTGTGGACTTCATAACTCAAGAACAGAAAGACTTTATGGATCAGAGTTGTTTTTATTTTATAGCTCTGCACCTTGGCTATCTATAGTGAAATTTTCATTGAAATTCAATGAGTCGTTGCGGAACTAGAACCATTTTACTGTAAGTATCGATATATGGCAAAACCAGTCTATCTCATTGTGTACTTGATAAATTAGTGAAAGTTTGATAGATTGACTTCAAACTTGCAGAAAAGGTGGTCCCACATGCTCTTATTGTTCTCTGAAATTTTCAGACTTATATCACATACTAGAGAGAAATGATACTATGGTTAGGTTCTAGATGTTGTCATAGGCCTTGCTAATCGAATACCCAAGCAATTGACCTCATCTTTTGGGTACATAACTAACACATAAGGGAGCACAATTCTACCAAAAAAAA